TCATCATGAGGTTAAGGTGATTTAAACAGGGGGTGGGGAACCTTTTTTCTTCCAGGGCCATTTGGATATAACAACATTCGAGGGCCATACAAAATTATCAACTTAAAAATTAGCCTGCTATATTTGATCAAACATTTAATTAATTCACCCCTAATGCTTTGGCAGGACCAGACCAAATGATTTCAAGGGTCTTATACGGCCCATGGGCTGGATGTTGCCCAACCCTGATTTAAACAGATCTAATTAGACATTGGCTACCCAAAATTGAAATCATCAAGGAAGATTTTTGAAATAGGAATATAATTCTACTGTGCTTAAGATGAAGGCAACAACTTCATAGACTATACCAGAATTTATGTTAGGGTAATTTACTAGGGGAAGATTGGGCCAAAGTGAACAGATGGCCCAGCAGTTTTGCACAAATTATTCTTCACTACCAAACCCTATACAGTACTTTTTTTATAGTATAATTCATGTTCTCGTGATTGAAAAGACAAAGAGGCCATGCCTCCTGGTAGCCTTGTGATAGATGGTTGCTTAAACTCAATACTGTTACCAGTTTGATATTTATCTCAGTTGTCATGCGATTCTGGCTGTTGCTCACAAAAATATTATGGCTACATTTTAAGGAACACAGATAATCATCAACTAGAAGGCTTTGATATGCTGCTTGTTAAGAACAATGACGTTAGTCAGAGGTCACAGCATGAAACTTAAAAAGGAAATGAAATCCAGGACACAGATTTGGAGTTGGTTTTGTTCACATCTACATCTATACACTCATTCTCTCTCAGAAGTTCGTTCTTTATTTATTTACTTATTTATTTATGTTATGCATACATACACATATATATTTAGCATGAAACACTGACAGATTATAGTGTAAGTTTTTTGTAATACCTATATTGTGTGTATGAGAGGGAGAAAAGACAAAATGTGAGATTATAAAAGAAGCCAATAGGAAAAGATTTACTTCATAAACAGATTTTTCTAATCACTTCTGATGTTTTAAGTGACATCTATTTCAAATAATGTTGAAGGTTTTTGGTTAAGGGTAGTTTGCTTCATGCTGTATCTGTGCCCCTGCCTATGTCTGATGGTCTACAGACTTCCTCAGGAATAGGTTTTTCTTCTTCTTCATCTTTGTATATCAGTATCTATCATGAGTCATTCAAATGAAGCAAACTAAAGATTATATTGAAAATATAATGGCCCTAGTTGGTTTGGCTCAGCGGATAGAATGTTGGCCTGCAGACCAAAGGGTCCCAGGTTCGATTCCGGTCAAGGGCACATACTTTGATTTCAGGCTCCCCCCTAACCCCCTAAGTCAGAGCACGTGCAGGAAGCAACCAATCAATGTGTTTCTCTCACATTGATATTTCTCTCTGCCTTTCCTTCTCTCTTCCACTCTCTCTAAAAGAAAAAAAAAAATGGAATAATATCCTCAGGTGAGGATTTAAAAAAAGAAAAAATATAATGAAATGTCTTATTTTCTTGCCTTCAAGAAGTTCACATTATCATTAGGAAAACTATGACCACCTGCACAGTATTGGGAAAGTCACAAGAAGTTTGTAACAAATGGCAAAAATCATGGTAGTTTTAAATATTTAAAGATTTAAGATTATGTAATGGGCAAGAAAAAAGGGAAGTGACATGGTTAAAGCAAATGCGGTGGAACTTAAGCTGGGTTATGGAAAAATAATGAGACAGATCATTTCGTGCAATGAACATCAGTAGGGGAATAGATGGTTCAGGGGGCCAAGAAAATTACCCTACACCTGGCTGCAGCACTTTATTTTAACAGAAAATCCAGTCAGTGCAGCTTAGGCAACGACAGGCATGTTTCCAGGTGACAGTCTTGTTGGAACCAAATGGTTATATCTATCCTACACTAATAAAAGACAAACATGGAAATTGACTGTACTTTCACCACACTGTAAGCCATGCCCACCAGCCAATCAGAGTGACTATATGCAAATTAACCCAGCCAAGATGGTGGCCGGCAGCCATGGAGCTGGAGCGAGCAGGAAGCTTGCTTGCTCCAGTGATGGAGGAAGCCAAGCTTTCCCTGCCGCGGCCCAGCTCTGAGCTCCACTGAAAGTAACAAAGTTTCGATTATAGAAGGTAAACAAAA